CGGGAGCGCGGCTTCCCCGCCGGAGCCCGCGGAGGGAATGTAAAACTTAAAAAAGGCAAAAAAAATCCCCCCCCCGAAAACTAATCAGTAACAAACTGAAGTTCTTGCTAGCTACACAATAAGTAGTTGCGAGCCTTTCTAAGTATACCAACGTTTTTAAGAATTTTCCTGTGCTACAGTCTAAAGCACAGAAACTATTACTGTTACTACTTTTTTGTATTATCGTGTGTTTTTTTTGTATTATGTTAACACACACCAGTCAGAGAATCTGTAAGTCTCTTTCTGTCTCCATTCATGATACTTAAAAATCTTGTGAAGTATATTCCAATATCCCACTGAAGCATATAGCACATGGCGGCAAAATATTACCTTGCCACTTCCCGTCTCCTTTCTGATAACTTAGTAAGTTCATTTCACTGTTTAAAGCATGGCCTGTGTACAGGAGCAACAGCGCAAAGTCAGCTCTTCCAAAAGCACACTGCGTGTGCTAATTCCATGACCTCTTTCCTCAGGTGACTCCTCACGTTCAGAGACAATCACAATCTGGCCTTAGAGAAATGAATTTCATCCTTCATGCTGCCTGATCTGGAAGTGCAGTATGCTTCCCTACCAGCTTCCTCCACGGTGGACTATTTGCTCTTTGGAGTAACTAAAGGTACATCTACAGACTCAGCTCTTTGGTCTTTACTTCCTCCCTTATATCAGTGAACAATAATGAATATGCGGGCCTTAAATTCACCTCTTGGATAGGCATCTCCCACTGGATTTTATAGGTTTCTAAGCACTCAGAAGCTCTCAAAATGGGCCTGTTCCTCTTCAGAAGTTAAAACACTAATGTATCTGACTTTAGACAATAGGTTTGAAATGTTGAGATTATAACAGTTTCCAGCATAGAACTATGATTGCTTACAAAGTTTTATGTCTTAGAAAAATAAGATGTTCATTATGATAGAACTGTTTGTCTTTATATTTAACATGTTTATGAAACTATATTGATTGATCATTATATATCTACCCTTGGAAAGGAAATGTGCTGTTTCACATGTAGTTCTGAAATGGCACTGTAAGGATGGGTTAACATTGTTAACAGCTATAATCAATATGTATTCTCTAAATGATTTTGCTTCTAGAAGTTCTATCCAGTTGACTTCTTTATTCAATTATTCATTCACTGGTACTATAAACAATCAAAAGGTTCAATTTTCCCTTGGAGAAGCCAAACTGGCTCAGAAGTACTGCTTATATTACATATTATGTGTATTTATAGAAAGAGAGGGAGACATTAGCTGAGCGAGTCAGATTGGCTACCTTTGAGCAGAGCAGAAGTTGTTCCTCTTTGTGTTAACGGTGTTTGACTCAGCTGCCTAAGATTACCCAAACCATGCATTATTTAGTGCTCTCCTTATGTACATTACCTCTGGCAACACTCATAGTAAGGTAGAGAAGTTAGATGCAGACAGAAAGAAGGAAGCAAAGCCACCTCTATTTGTCCTTTAATTTATTACTTGTTATGTGATAGCACTGAAAAACCTTGCCATAAAGCCAGGTAGAGGAAAGAGAACTGTCTTTATAAGTAGGTGTTAGGGCTAGCAATTGTCCTGTTAAAAACGATTGAAAGGTATAATTTAAGATCACGAAGGATTGCTCCTTTGTTGTTAAATTAAGTCTTACCTTCTATTAAGAAGGCAAATTCTTTCAAAAGTTGTTTGCAAAGTAATCCATATGCATGAGAATACATCAGCTTTGATAAAGAGAACATGTTTTCTAAATAACAAATAGTGCTGTTTTGAGGTGATAATTAAAGACAAATGTGAAAGCAATCTACTGCTAAGTACCAGCAGAGTGTTTATTCTCTCTTTGTATCTTGGTTTTTTTGAAGACAGGTGAAGATGAGACACAGAGGCAATCTTACACTCAGGGCTGGACCTTAGGGACCCAGCCAACACCCTTGGCTCTCAGGTGGCCTCACCCCCTCATAGCTGGTCTGGCTGGACTGTCACTGGTGATCACACGCTCGTGTTCATGCTTGCACTCGGACCTGTGGTCTGACACCAGCTGCTGCACTCAGACCCACACACAGACATGTGCATGCCGGGTAGAGAGCCCTCACCCAGCAAAGGGTTAGAAAGGACTTCAACAAGAGGACAGGACAGGCGCAGGGCATGGCTGGACGAGTATACTGACCAATAAACAGTTTATATGCGACTGGCCCTCTTATCCCCTTACCCTCTGTTTTCCACTCTTGTTCCTCCTCCAGTCACCAAAATCCTTCCCTTTTCCCACTTTCAGTTTTTCCCCTAACCATCCCACGAGAGCTCCTGTGCAATCCCAAAACGCTCTTCTTTTTTTGTCCCAGTCCCCTCAGCAGCAACCCCCGTTAGGCCTAGGTGTGATCTTGGATATGCTCCTGATGACTCATCTTGCTGTAATCTTCATTTTTCAGCAAAGCAGCTTTCTGAAATTAAAGTAATTTAAGGATGAAAAATCTGAGCTGCCAGCAGTAGTTTGTGACCTCTCACTGAAATCTGTAACACCTGAGTATTGGGCAGTGAGCCAGTCATTAAGCAAGGATTTGGGAGAGAGCAGGGAAACTTCAGCGTGAGGTCTTTACCAGCACATTGGTAGACATGGTGGCAAAAAAAGAATTAATGAACAACTGAATAAGAAATTCTATTTGGAAGAATTGGTAGGGCTTCTATAAAGGAGGATCCTGCCTTACATTTTTTTCCAGGGGTCAACAAAACTATGGAGTATGAATCACATAGGGATGCTGTACGACCCTGCCTCTGGCATCCTCTGGGGATTCCTCCTTCCAGGCCGCTGGAGCCAAAGGATGTGGCTGCTGCTTTGCCTTGTGCAGGTTCAGCCAGTGGTGAGGCTGAGTGTGTGTCCCGGGGAAGTACATACGTGCACACACACAGCCCTGCAGAGGACACTAACATGGCTGCTTACACGGACTGCAACAGGCTGTGCTGCCTTTAACAACACTCGTATATAATGCTACCAAAACTCGAAAAAATGTGAGTGTAGATAGTGTGGTCCTGTTGCTCTCTGGCTCATCAGGGTTACGTTCATTAGTGAAAACACCCCCCTGCACACTCTAGATTGACAAGCATGCGCACATTTACAGATCCGTTGAATATCAGCATGGGCCCTCAGCCCCTCTCATGTTCGTGCCCTGATCCTGAGCCCTCTTGCCCAGTATGTAGGTCTTTTACTTGCCAGCTGGTTCAGCTCAATACTCCGTGGCAGACAGAGGCATGCACTTACATACTTGTCTCACAAGCCCTCTTACGCTCATGGATCCCTTGATAACCAGCAAAGGCTCTCAGCTTGGCCCATGGACTCTGCTCCAAGGTCCCTTAGCTACCTCCAGCTCAGACTGCAGTCTGAGTCTTTCCAGGTTTTCCTCCTACAAACCAGGTAGTACAGCTTGAAGTTGTTAGGTTATCTGATAAAAAAACCCCTGATCTGCACATCTGCAGAGGGACACAGAAAGACAGCATTGGATGGGGGAGCCCAAGTAACACTGTGCCCTGGCTGCTTCCAGGCCTATCACAGGAACATGTCACAGGCCCATCTCTGCAAGTCCAAAGGTGCTCAGGGGCACAATGGCGTGTGAGAACCCAAATTTCACCTCTCCAAGAGGTGACACACACTGTCCTGGGCTCCTCTCAGGGCTGTCCTAGGACAGTCATGAGCCCTGTGGTCTAGGTATAAAACCCATCACATCAGCAGGAGCGGGACTGTTAAGGGGGAGGTGAGAGAGGTATTGCAAAGGGCTCTGGGGTGCAGGGGAGGATCATTCTGGGTTTACAGTAGATTTGTGGAGTGTTTATGGGAGGAACCAAAGATGGGAAGTAGTGAATCTAAGTGATATTGGGAGGATTAAGAGTGGGAAAATAGTGCTATAAGGGCATAAAAAGGGCAGATCGTATGTAAACATGACTTGGCTACCACAGGGACCAGGGGAGTCCTAGTAAGCTCTGTGTGTGCATGCCTGTACGTCTCAAAGGGCAAGTATACAGAAGGAGCTGGCTACCAGAAGGGAGCAGGGGAGTCCCGGCCAACCGCTGGAAAGTTGTAAGTGTATGTGTGTGTGTGTGTGTGTTGGTGAATTAGGAGGTCTCTAACAGCAAGTGCAGTGAGGCTGTGGCCTCAGGGGCTTCTATGACCAAGTGCCAGCAACTGCAGAGACTGGGATCCAGCAGCCCGTTGCTCGATAGACTGTCTTAGCCTGCCTACGGGGGTAATCCACGTTGCACCTAGTGGACCTTCATCCGGAACAGCCAGAGCAGGGGTAGCGTGAGGCTGTTGTTGTGTTTGTGTGAGCACTGAGTGTCTGACTCTGTTGGTCTGTGTTGTATATGTGTGTTTGTGTGTCTGCCTACTGGGAATACGTTCTCAGTCTCACTACTGGTTGTGCCTGGGGTCATGGACCTGTCACAGCCTTGCTTCTGTCAAGATACTGGATTCACCCCATCCCTACCAGATTTCTTGCAATTTTCAAATATGCACTCATGCACGTTAGGCTAGGGGAAAATATAAATGGACCGGTCCCTGCAGTTGCTGGCATCCCAGGTACATGTGCCTTATGACCCATGGTCCCTCCTGTTGATGATGCTAAGACCCCCCACAGTTGGTTTCTGGCACCACAAAGACATGGGCCTTTGTCACCCATGATCTAACTCGAGTTGCTGGCATTTGATTCAGTTAGTCTGGTCTGTCCAGTTGCTGTCACCTAGAACTTTGGACAGTCTGACGTGGGGTAGAGGGTGAAATTGTACAGAAAGATATTTAATAAATATTAGTAAGATAGCCTGTGATCAGGCACAGGGCTCCTTCAGACAGATGTTCTGAACAGGATCTGCTTGTACACAAATGAACCCTTTTATTTTTCC